CCCCCTCCCCCCCGCAGTGCTGCGGCGGATCAAGGTGACTTTTGTGGACACCATTGTGCGGGTGGAGCATGCACCCGGCAGTGCCCCTGCGGGGGTGGCGCTGGAGCTGCACATCAAGAGGTACCAAGGAGACTCCTCCTCCCTGGTCTGGGGGGCATTGAGGTGGGGGGCAGACCCTCAGTTTTCCCCCCTCCCCCCCACTCCCTGTCACCACCTGTGCTAAGCTGGGGGGTCTCTCCCCTAGGGGCCATGTTGGGGGCATCCCTATCCAGGGCGTCACTTGTGGGGGATCCCTGACCTGGGGGGATGCATTGGGAGGTGATCCATGACTGGGGGGCAGGGAGGGTGAAATCCTTGCACTGGGGGGAGCACATGGGGGTGGTTGCCAGCTAAAAGGGGATCCCGCAGGCTGGAGTACTGCGACGAGGCGCTGCGGGAGCCCGGCCCAGCGCCGCCCCCTGACGTGCACCAGCTGCCGGCCGTGGTGCGCAAGGTGCTGCAGCTGCGCGGTGTGCGGCTCTGCTACGAGGATCTGGCTCCGCCCCCACCGCTGGCCCCACCCCAGGTACCCCGCCCGGACACCTGGCTCCCTCCGGCTCTGGAAGGGCAGTGGGGCCGGGAGCCCAGAGGCCTCGGTTCTCCGCTGGCCGTGGCAGGGAGAGGTGGTGATGGTGGTTGGTGGTGGTTGTGGGGGGACCCCCTGCCTCACGCCCCCTCTTCCTACCCCCCCAGGCAGGCGCCCCAGCTGCCCCCCCCCCCGGGCAGGCGCCCCGGCTTCCCCCCCCAGCACCCTCTTGCAGATCGGCAGCTGCTCGGGCTACACCGAGGTCACGGTCAAAGTCAAGCAGAACGAGGCCCTGCCTGGACCCAAGGTGGGGGCCATTGGGGGGCGCTCCCATAGGGCTGGGCTAGGGGCACAGGATGGGACGGACGGGGGGGCAGGCAGGGAATGGACGGGGTTAGGAGGGTTCATTGGGCTGGTCTTGGCAGGAAGGAGGACAAGTCTGGGAGGGTCCCTTGGGCTCATGGAGGGGGAAGGATGTGGACTGGAGGAGTCCATTGGACTGGTTATGGATTGGGGGGGGTCAATGGGTCAGGCTGGGAGGGCCCATTCTGCTTCTGGTTGTGCCGGGGTGGGTGGATAGGGTCATTGGGCCCCTGTTGGGGCAGGGGATGATTGGGCTGGAAGGATCCATTGGGCTGGTTGTGGGGGGGAATTGGACTAGGCTGGGAGGGGCCATTGGGCAGGGCAGCATGGGGAGACCCCACCCTGAGCGGTGCTGTGCCCCCAGTTGGAGCTGGACGGGAAGCTGGGCGCGCTGCACCTGCTGCTGGCCCCCGAGCACATCGCCGCCCTGCACAGCCTCCTCGCTGCCCTCGGCACCTCCGGTGAGAGCTTGCAGCAAGGTCTGGGGGGGGCAACGCCTGGGTTCCCCCAGCTCTGGGAGGGCAGCGGGGCTCTCCTTCCCCCCCCATTCCTCTGCCTACTCCTCCCTGATCCCAGGTGCTGGTGGCCCGCGGGAGAGGCCCAGCAAGAGCCGCCCGCTGGACTCTGAGGACCTCAAGCTGATCGAGCAGGACCTGAACCAGCAGCTGTACGCGGGGCTGGGCCCAGGCCGGCCGGATGGGGCTGACAGCTTCTTGGGTAGCGAGAATGGAGGTGATTCCCTGCCCCTCTCGACCTGCCGGTGCCCCTCGCTCCCGCCCCTCAGCCCCCTGATGCCCCTGCCTCTGTCCCCAGAGATGTTCTTCTCCATGGCCCCCCTGACCAGCAGTGTGACCTCGACCCGCTCGGTTGGGGAGCTCTCCGACATTGACCTGGACAGCTCCGTCCACAGTGACTATGGCCCTGGCCCCCTGCAGCCCCCTGCCTTCGCCCCTGGGGTGAGTGCCCCCCCTGGGGGTACAGGTGGGCAGGGCAGGGGGTGAAGCTACAGCTCTGGAGTGGCTGGGGGTAGAGCTTGGAGGTGGAGGGATGGTTGGGGAATTAGGGGTGGAGTGTGGGGCTAGGGCTGTGAGAAGGGGCTGGGCCAGGGCTGGGGGAGCTTGAGGCTGGGGGCAGAGCTAGTGGGACGAGGGGAGCCTAGGGTTAAGGGATAGGGGGGCAGAGCAAGGGGTAGGAGGGGTGGAGCCTGGGGCAGGGGGCAGAGTTGGGGCCAGGGTGGGATGGGGTGGAGCCTGAGGGCTAGGGGAAGGCTAAGGGGTTGGAGAGAGGCTATGGGGCTAGGGGTGGGGCTAGGGTTGTGAAGTAAGAGGAGGGAGTGGATCTTGGCAACTGGGGGAGGAGCTTGAACTTCTAGGGCAGGGTTAGGGCAGGGGGGGCAGTCAGAGGCTTGGGGTGGAGCTGGGGCCAGGCTGCCTGCTCACCCTCCCACCACCACTGTCCCTGCAGCTGATCCTCAGCAGCCCCCGGCGCTTCGGCCACTCGCCCTTCGCTGCCACTGTCCCTGGGCTGGGCAAGTGGCAGGGTAAGTGGGGGGGTCTCCGCCAGGAGCCGGACGCCTGGGCTCTCTCCAGCTGTGGGCGGGGAGGGGTTCTGGGAGCCTGTATGTCTGGGTTGTCTCCAGCTCTGTGTGCCCTCCTCTGTTCTAGGCAAGCCCCCCCAGCCGGACAGCCTGCGCCCCAAGACGCTGGTGCGGGTGACGGTGGGCGGGCTGACACTCACGGTACCCCACCAGGGCCCTGCCCCTGCCCCACCTCTGCCAGCCCAGGACTTCTTCACCGAGCTGGACTCCTGCAAGGACGCTGCCTTTGGGGGCCGGGACTTCACCCCCCTGCGTCAGACCTTTGAGAGGGCCTGTCCGCACAGCCACCTTCGGTACTGTTCTGTCCTGCCCCCCCATGCTGACTTGTCTCTAAAGATGATCTCCCACCCGCATCTTGACCCTCCCGGACCCTGCTTAGCTTCCCTGAGGTGTCAGTGCCTGTCTAGGGAGTGCAGCACCCCCTGGTGGTGTCATTGATACACTACATGCAGTGTGTGTCCGTCCCCCCCCAGTTTTTTGCGTATTGGTTTGCTGGACATGGTCTCCTGTTCACCTTCTGACCCTCCCTGACCCTGCTTAGCTTCCCAAGGGACATTACAGCATGCCCAGGCATGGTGCCCCCTGCTGATTTGCCCCCTCTTGCTCTTCCTGCCCCCCTGCCAGGTTGACGGCAGCCGCGGTGCAGCTGAGCTGGGAGCAGAGGGCAGCCTGTGGGCTCCACGTGGCCAGCGCAGACCTGGGCTGCGGGAAGCTGGAGGTCCTGGAGTGCCTGTGGCCAGATGAGGGGTCCCGAGTGCCCATCTACACTGAGGTAAGGGGTGGGCTGGCGTTGGGGGCAGGGGGCGGGAGCCTATCCCCGCCCCTTATCCCCCAGGGCAGGGGGCTGGAGTGGACTGGGGCAGGGGCAGTGCACTGGTAATGTCCTGGAGGGGAGAGGGGGGCCAGGAAGGGACCCCCTCTCCATCCTGATACCCTCTGCCCCGCCTCCCAACAGCTCCTGAGTTTTGCAGCCCCCAGCGAGGCCTCGGCCCGGCCCTGTGCCCAGGTGCGCTATAAGCAGACGGAGCAGCTGCCCCCCAAGGTGAGCCCAGAAGGAGGGGCTTCCTGTGACAAGGGGTGGGGCCAGGGGCAGGAAGGGGAAGGGGGAGGGCTAGGAGCAGAGCATGGGGTAGTGGAGATAGTCCTGGGGCAAGGCCGAGGTAAAGGAGGTAATCTGGGTACTGGTTTGTGTCTGGGCTACACTGGGGGCGGGGCCTAGGTCCAGGGGTGGGGCCTATGCCATGGGAGGGCTTGGTTCAGGGGCTGGTGCATAAGGTCAGGGACAGCTGATGCCTGGAGAGATGGGTAGGGGTGTGGCCTAGGATCAGGGGGTGGGGCCTAGGCTTAGGGGGTGGGAATTATGCCCAGGGAGGCCTGGGGCCGGGGCCGGGGCTGGTCCCGGCGCGGGGCAGTCCTTGTTGGGGTGGCTTATGCCGGGGGGGGGTGTCTTGGGCTTAGGGGTATGGCCTCCATTCAGGGGGCAGGGCCTGTGCCCCCAGCCCAACCCCTGCCCACCCTCACAGGGCAGAGGCCAGCGTCGGCGCGTGGGGGCCACGCGGAGCTCGGAGGTGGCCGTGGACCTGGCCCCGTTCCAGGCCGAGGTGGATCTGGGCGCCCTGGACCGGCTGGCCCCGCTGCTCCGGCTGGCAGGAGCCCCGTCCCCCCGAGACACGCCACCCCATAGCCAAGGGGAGCTACACATGGGAAGGGGCGGGGCCTGGGGGCC